ATATATATATATATATATGTATATATATATATATATATATATCTATATATATATATATATATATATATATATATATATATATATATATATATATATATATATATATATATATATATAGTGTAAATGCATGCTTTTCATGAAATTATTCACAGTTAACAGTTAACTGTTTTCATTTTTCCATCGTGAACTGAACAAATTCCAGCACATCTCAGTATACAGCTTATTTTAAAATGAGATAAATGATGGCAGTCAAACATTTTCTAAGATCATTTTTGTATCTAGTTTAAGCAATCTTTCCACAATACTTACAATAATTATACATTTCGTCACCTTAGAATTAAACGGTTCTGACATTTTTGTCAAAATTGAGTTATTGACAAATTCTTACTGAATGACAGCTTATTTACATCATGGAATGTTTTTTTATAAGATGTTTACATTTTTAACTTTTTATTTAAAAAAGAAAACAAACGTTACGCAAAAACTTTAAAGCTCAATATCCCAAAATCATTCAGAACGCAGATAGAACCTTATAATTCCAAAGTGACGATTTGTCAATGAAATAAATGAGTTGTATGCTGAATTGTTCACCTGTCACACACTAAAATTGAATATTAATTTGCTTAAGAGCTTATTAGGAAATAAATAAACTGAATTTGTTTATTAGATAGAGGATGAGTGACTACATTGTGAATACACTTGTCATGTGTGATGAGAACTTTTCAATATTTTTTTAAAATGTGTGTGTTGATGGAAATGACAGAGGTGGAAATGACATTTCAAAAAAGAAAAAAAAAGAAAAATAGCTTCATCGATTTGCTTTGAATTGATACCAGCTTTTCATGTCTACAAGTCTCATGTTCGTGTTCTCAGATGACACTGTTCACTTTCATAGAAACCACCTCAATAATCTTTCACACAAACATTTTAAAGCGACATTACAGTGTTGTGCTGGAGATGACACTGGTACTGTGTGACAGCTGTATTTTGTATAAAAATAATGTTAATAATAGTCTCACATTAATAACTATACAATATTTAAATTATTTCACTAGTGCTTCATTAAGATACATGAATAGATAACAGATCAATAAAATATTTCAAAATGTTATTTTCATTGTTGAAGTTTAAAACTCTGGCTGTGCGACAAGGTGAAAACAGGGATTTTGCTACCTAAAAGGAGATTAAGTAATATGAAAAACAAATAATAGAAAGATAGTACATTTTTTAAAGTAGGTTTTATTGTTAGTTTGACAAAGAAAGAGGAATTCGAATATATATATATATAAACTTTTTTATTTTTTTTGAAAATATGATCAAAGGACATATTAGTGGCCATTGTTGAAGAATTACCCATTTATGGCATATTATATTGTAGTTTTGAGGAGAGACCTTATTTGAATAAGTCACTGAATGAGCTGTATAAGTGTCTAATCTAAGATTGACCAGTAAATTAACCCTGCTGGAATGATTGGAATTGTATTAAATTCTCTTGAATTCATAACACACGAGCAGAGCCAGACAGAATGTGTGGAGTTTTGCGCTATTCTGTGCAGAATTTTCTTAAAAAATCAAATCAAATCTGTGGATGTCTGAGATAAAAATAAAATAAATAAATGTAATTTTAAAATGCAAATTTAATCTGTTCAGCAGCTTCAGTGGTTATTTTTATATAATAGATCTTCTAAAGATGAGTTAAAGAGTACTGCTGTATAAGCATCATCTAAACATGTACAAACCATTCAATAATGTAATAAATAAACAAAGCAATCTGCTCAAAATCACTATTGAAGCTGCACATTTATATAAAAACATCTAAAATAGCGTAAGCGTTACTCTAAAAGTCATTTATCTGGCATAAACATTCAGGTTGCGATGACAGATGCGCAGTGTGTGTTGCGTCAGTGTTTTATCAACAGGTTTGTCAGAATGTAGACCCAGACATGTTCCAGATCTACACAAGATGACAGATATCTTCAACACTGTGTGGTTGTATAGATAATTCTACAATAATTGCCTGTATTTCTGACCCCCACATGTGCTTTACACATACACACAAAATGCAGGGTGGCCATGAAACCACACTGGGTCAAATATGGACGCACCCAACATTTGGTATTTTTTCAATTCAACGGTTGTGTTTGTTCATATTAGACTCAACATTGCTTTATGATAACCCAGCATATGTTAGAGTTGATACAAAAATGAGGCCAGCATGAGTTGTTGTAAGTAATTTAATGACACTTAAAAATGCTGGGTTATCAAAAACCAGTGTTGGGTCAAATATGCAAACACTGGGCTGAAAATAGACATTTAAATTTAATTTAAAAATCAACCCAATATTGTCAACTCACAGCAAGATGGTCGCTGGTTCGAGTCCTGGCTGGGTCAGTTGGTGTTTCTGTGTGGAGTTTGCATGTTCTCCCAGTGTTAGTGTGGGTTTCCTCTGAGTGCTGTATGAGTGTGTATGGGTGTTTCTTTGTACTGGGTTGCAGCTGGGAAGGCATCCGCCAAGTAAAACCTATGCTTGAATAGTTGGCGGTTCATTCTGCTGTGGCGACCCCTGATGAATAAGGGACCAAGCCAAAGGAAAATGAATGAATGAAATTAAGGCATGAAGTGAGACACTTGTAACGAGAATGAGGTGTGTGTGTGTGTGTGTGTGTGTGTCTGTGTGTGTCTGTGTGTGTGTGTGTGTGTGTGTGTGTGTCTGTGTGTGTGTGTGTGTGTGTGTAATGCAGCTGCTCGGGTCATTCTCCAGTAAGTTTCTTGTGTATATCTGCGTGAGTAATGCGGCTGTAATGCGTCTCGGATGCAGCGTCACGTCTGTAATTGAGGGTTTGATCAGATCATTCAGCAGTGTGTGATTACAGCTCTGCAGATTCATCACAGCTCAATGGAGGACGCGTGAAGATGACTGCTGCCCTGTCCTGTGGACTGTACAGCTGTGTGTGTCTGTGTGTGTCTGTGTGTGTCTGTGTGTGTGTGACCAGTCTGAACACACATCCTCTAC